ATTTTTCATGAAAAATAAAAACAGTCCTATGGGTTACTTGATCAGTAATGAAGAAAGCAGCTCTAACTCCTGTCTGCCGTAATTTACATTACCAAAAGAAAAGGAGTATAGAATCGGGGTTAACCAATGAGACCGTCGGAAAGGCGCAAACTCCGCCCACACGATCGACGCCTAACGAGGTTCTAAAGCTTTTCAGCATTTAGCTTCTATTACAATGAACCTATTTCGCAAGTGTCTGTCCTTTTCGAGCGCAGTAACTCACACCTATTCAATCTTGAACAAGTCTCCTCAAAGTTCAAAAGAACCCATTTACGCGGAAATGACCCAGAGCGGAGCAAAGGCACACTTGCAAAAAAAATCCTCGAAGAATAATTTTGAGAAACCTACGTCAAGAGCATCAGTTCGTGGGCCATGCTTCCGTACACGCTCCGCTGAAGAGGCTAGAGGTGACGAGGGCACACTGGCTGATAACTCATTAGAGATCATCGCACTAATCACGTGCGATCCTCGTCGCGATGGGGGACCTGAAAATGGACGCTTTTTTCTATCGAATCATTCAAGCATTCATTGTAGTATATCAAAACTGAGGGCTAAACTTGTAATAAGGTCATAGCGGTGATGAGAAGCAATGCTTTGAGGAAGAATGAATGAAGGATTTTCGGAGGCAGATCTCGAACACTCATGAATTTGACCTGTGCACGATTAATATTGCCAACAAGCTCTACATGTTCCCTTGCAGCTTGCTGGCAGCTAGCTAGCCGACATTATAAAAGTGAAGGAGACAATATTTACGGCATTCCATACTCGGAAATCGGAATCGCCAGCTCGAAACAGCGGAGGCAAATGTTTCAGGACAGCACTCAAATGTGGAAAGAGAAAATAGAAGACAGAGCAAGGCTCAGGGATGCCCTCTTATGAGAGTATTCAGTTCCAAAAAATGAAGGCTACAGAAACCGACTACTGAATTAACAGGCCCTTAAAAGACGTAATAATATCGGAGGACTTTACATCACATGTAATGCCATTCACATGATGTGATTGTCCCCCCCCCCACCACTCCCTCCCTTCCCTTACCATGAAATAATCCAGGTGACCAGAGAACACAAACACATGTGGACCATCTGTGCCACAATTTACTTATTTGGCCTTTCTTATCAGAGCCAAACATACTAAAACCTGAAGAACTCGTCAGCACAAGGTTAAATCCGAGCGCCGACTGTGTTAACTCCGGGGTGCGGGACTTTTGGTGCGTCCGAGATGGCGCGCGGCAAATTGCGCGGCGGCGCGACGGCATGCGCGGCAATCGGGATGGGACAGGGCATCGCGCGTTCTGCAATAGAATTCAACGCGCGTTGCAGATTGCTGTTAAACTCCGCATGATTCTGCAAATTGAAAAAACTTTCCGCACGCGGAGATTTCTATGCAGCAGTGTCGGGGAGGAATTTTAGCGCAAAATGAGAAAGAGAACCTTCAAAAAATGTTATCACTATCACCAAAGCGAATAAGAAACACTAAATTGAGAAGTTTTTACTGAGATATAGTTAGTTACTTGTACTGAGTAATATGCTTGAACTGAAATCGCGACGGTGACATACGTATTGGGGGGACATGCAAAACCAGAAGGAGCAGAAATGGGAGATTACACTAGGACTTAATCATTAGGGGAGGAGAGAGGAAACAAGCCAAGGAAAAAATAATAGTTACTCAATTTCATCTCCAAAAATCCTTCACTTCTCCTTGAGGGTCGAAATATCTGAAGCACAGCACTCAGCTCACTCATTGAAGTATCTTCACCCCACCCCGTCCGCCCCCCCCCCTCACCCCCATCCCTACCTCAACGACATGAGTGTCCTGGTGTCGATGCCCATCTCATCTTTTCCAGCTGAACTTTCCTTACCATTATCGCTATCCTCAAATCCTCCACGCGATTCAAATCGCAGAACCTTCCGGATTTTATCCGCGATCTGCACACGCTTTGACGTGTTGAATCCCACTACAGAAGCCCGCGTAGACTTGCCTCGTCCGGTTCGCCGCACCGCCCGCCGCGCAATTTGCCGCGTGCAACCCCGGACGCACCAAAAGTCCGTCGCCCGGTTTGAGCGTCCCCTGGACGATTAGGAGCTAGCGTTCTGGAAGAATCGGGGGAAAAAAAATAAAAAAAAAAAATAATAAGTAAATAAATTCAGGAGTAAGTTTGATAAAGCAATAACCCTGCTGAACCATGGGTTGAGATGGTCAGATCAGATTAATTACCAAGGACCTAATCTCAACCCGACTAAATTACTTCAATTTTTGCATTCGCTCAAAGTTGTACCGTATCCGATGGGAATAAAATACATGCTTAGAAATAAGTACTAAATTTTTTTGTAAGTTATGGGGAATTAGAGATGTAAAGGAAAATAATTTGGATTGGATAAAAAAAAGGCAGAAAAATAAAGTATTGAAATTGTGGGACGAAGGTAAAGGGGGCCGCTACTTTGTGGGATGCGCCGCGCATTCTACTTCCATTGGAACCGTAATGGCGTTTAAATGCGATGTGACCTATGCAATGACGGTGCACAGCTCACTGTTTTTATATTCTAGGCAATCCTGGATGAATGATAGAATTGGTTGGCCAAGAGAATAGTAGGGTAGAGACTCCGAGATTTGATCCCTGGAGGGTGCTGGTGAATACTTGCTACCACACTACCTGCGCGCGATCAACGACGAATGCATTTGAGTTGGGCCAAGCAGAACTCTGCATATCCCATTTCTGAGATCCAAGCACATGCAGCAATCTAAGCTATCGAATCTAATCAAAGAAATCCTAACTTACCACCGAAAAAATCGTCTACAGATTTGCCGATCACTGACGGTTGCGTCATCGTCGCTCAGATGTGGGTCTGATGATGTTGGTGATCGGTCGGTTAGGGTGGGGAATGGTTCTCTCATCACTCATTCTCACACTCTCAGCATGTGCCGTACATTCAGCCATTATCGGCGACATAACAACGCCTCCTTTGGCCCGCCCGAATGATAAACGACACTCAATGAAGTGTCGAAAGGGAAATGAGCGAAAATGTTCGAGGAAATCGATGTCAAGATGATGAAAAATCCAATGATGACTACGACTGACGTCAGACATGATCCTGTGCAAAATTATGGCAAATTGTTGTTGTGGGGAGACGGTGGGAAGGCGGACAACTCTATGATCGGGGTGGGAACGGGTACATTGACAAGAGGGGTGAATGCCATTTGCCCAGCTCTGAGGTCAATCTCGCTCAATACCCTTCCATCTCTTGGATTGGACTATTGATAGCTTCAGCTGAGTAACAGAATGTTCTTTAAATTCACCAAGAAAGGGCATTAGGCCAACGTGGCAAATTAAAATGTGGTGTGGATTCTTAGAAACGCCTTCTAATGCCGAGCTCCACTATGATTTCACTCAATTCTAAAAAGTTCCCGATCCAAGAGATGGAAAGGTCGTTATGAGGACGAAAAGCGGAGCGGTAGTGTACCGGGAGGTACTCGAAAAGGGCATGGTGTTCTGGAAAAGCAGCACCGTAAAGGAGTCGATCCGAGGACTCCCTGCCTGCAAGTCCTAACCACTGCCGTTCGCATTT